GACGAAAAGCAACCGAAACATAGCTGGAGGCAGGAAAATGAGTAGTACCATGGGCCAAAAGTGTCTGAAGGGCCTCCAAAGACCTTACTTCCCAAAACACAAGTGTTAGGACTTATTCAAGCTTCATCCATCAAAAAATTCACCCATATTTTTTTTTTAGATTAGTCATGTTTGTTTCCAAGTTTTTAAAAAAAAACTGCTTGCATAAATTATGCAAATCACAATAGTTAATTTGAATAAATGTTGAGATTTCAGTTTGATTCATAAATATTATGTTAGCTCATTTAATTTCTTACGCAAATATTTACAGTTTTCTATGTTAATTAAATGCTTAATTTTTAACAATTTTTTGTGTACAAAATGTTAGAATCCACTCATGAAGGCTTCCTCTTTTTGGCACTGAAACTCCAAAAAGGCTCCGTCTCCAGAGGGTTAATCATCACTGTATTTTTTTTTTACTTTAGCTCCTTCAATTCCCAGACAGCTCCTATTTTAACTCACTTTATTTAGTTTTACCAACCCAAACTTCAGCTCAGTCATCTGAATGTGCTGTATTGATTCATTTTGTGATCATATACTAACAGACACATCTCATGGCATCTGGACAGTGACACAATAGTCATACTGTGGCAGAAATGAAAGTCTAACCATGTACTGTATCCGTCGGTGTTTGAGACACATTTCCTCCCCCTCAAAATAGGCCTGAAGATTAGGCTGTCTTATATAATACTGTATCCCCGTGTGGGTTCCGGGACCCCATCGTGGGGAAAACAAGAATAGACCCTCTGCCTACCCAAAAGCATGTCGTAAGAGTCGACTAATTGGGGAGCGTCCTTTGAAGTCGGAGTGCATCTGCCTGAGAGGCAAGGAACCAACAGTCTGCATTCAAGTGAATCAGATCTGTAAAACCGATGCACACGAAACACTCAGGTTCTGGAGCAGGACTGCAGTTCAGAAGTGGACGAACAACCAGAAACTTTCACCAGAGTGTAAAGCTGGTGAACGCAAAGAAGAAGAAGATAATACTGTTAGGCATACATGTACCGTTAACTTTTCTGGTTGCCTGTGATATGAAAAGAGATAGTAAGCGGCATTTCTACAACGTGAGTTCTAAACTCCTGGTGATAAAATATGTTTAAAAAACAACACAACAATGGCTCAGCACAATGTCATTTCTAATCTCCCCAATAGAAAAAACATAACACTTTGCTAATCTCAGCAGGATGTTTTGTGCAAAACGAACAAAGAAAAGCGTGTATAACATGGAAAAAGTGCAAAATGACCAGAATTAGAGACTTATGTACTGAAATGGACGCAAGAATTAAATGTGAGTTTTTTTAGGGGGGAAAATATCAATTTTTAGGGTGAGTCTTATGCAAGAGACATAATTTGATAAGAAACCTAAAAACACATGTTCCTGAGAGAAGCCAGCAGTGATGGACTGGGCCCCCACCTTGATACTGAAAGGGCTGCACATGGTATAACAGTATGGATGATTAGGCTAAGAGTCCTATGTGACTTAAAAGGCTTAATCTCTGAAATCGAACTCATAGTATCATGAAGCTGTTAAACGCATACCCGTACCTCTGGGCCACTGAATCATGCACACCCCAACCTCTGGGCCACTGAATCACGCATACCCTAACCTCTAGGCCACAGAATCATGCATACCCTAACCTCTAGGCCACAGAATCATGCATACCCTAACCTCTGGGCCACAGAATCATGCATACTTGGATGAAGGAGCAGACAAAGACATAGACAGACAATGTTCAGTTGTGTTCTATTCAAGTTTATTATGGCACTCAGTTTTTAACCTTATTTAATTTTACCTGAAACAAGATTTATTACATTAAACCTTTAATGTCTTTGAAAAAAAAAATTGGACACACAAAGAACCTATGAAACAATGAGAAATAGACCATAGATTCAGGTGCCCAAGTCGAACTGGTGCCTAATTTCTTTTTCTTCTTCTTCTCCTCGGTCACGGCTGTAAACTCCGGCAGAAAGACTTGGTTGTACGTATATCTCTGGACTTTAATCTTGTTCCAGAATTTAAGGCTGTGTGCACATCCATTTTTACAGATCAGGCTCATTTGTATGCAGACTGTTGGTTCCTTGCCTCTCAGGTAGATGCACTCTGACTTCGAAGGAAGCCCTCAATTAATTAGCTCATCAACATGCTTTTTTAGGGAAGCAATGGGTCTATTCTTGCCTTCCCCATAATGGGAGGCCGGAACTCACACAGGGAGGCAATGGGTCTATTCTTGCCTTCCCCATAATGGGAGACCGGAACTCACACAGGGAGGTGTGCAAGAAGACCACAAGACTTTTAGCTGACAATTCTGAGCTAGGCCTGTACCTATCTAACACACATTATACTTGCCACACAGGCTGACCTCTATTTGTTTTTTCTTTTTTAGGCTTGAAAACCCAACTTACAACACACACCATAATTTATGTCTTACAGTCAATAAACAGAAAAATTTTTAAACTCTAATTTAGACTTGAAAACTCAACTTACAACATACACACCATAAATTATGCTTTACAGTCGACAAACGGAAAAATGTTAAACTTTAATTTAGGCTTGAAAACTTAACTTACAACATACACACCATAATTTATGTCTTTTAGTCAATGAACAGGAAAATGTCAAACTTCTAACAGCAGGATATTTGCTGCTGTTAAAACTGAAGTGGTTCCTGGCAGTTTATGGCAAGCTCACAAAAAAAATATATGATAGAAAAATCAAATAACAATACACTCACCAAACATTCCTTCAAACTCTCAATGGAGCGTGATGACTAGCCCAAATAGAAATTTACATTAGACAACAATATTCACAACACGAGTATTCTATCTTTACGTTGATTTATTTCATGTATCCCTGTGTGGGCCCCAGAGACCCATTGTGCGGAAAAAACAATAACAGACCCATTGCCACCCACAACCATCATGCCATAGGTGTCGACTAATTGGAAGCATTCATCAGAGTTGGAGGGCATCTGCCCGAGAGGCAAGGAACCAAGAGTCTGCATACAAATAAGCCAGATCTGTTAAACTGCCAAGTCATCAATGTGGCTGCTTCAGGATACATCAGTTAAGCGATTTTGAGTATTCGTGTGGTTTTGTTTGAATTCTGTATGTGCTGATGAAGGCTCTATAGCCGCAACAATCACATTTCATTTGCGTTTGTTATACTGTGAAGCTTGCTGATCTACTTTCTGTTTGGTTTTCTATCTTTTCATTTAAAAAAGTTGAGGAACGTTCTACACTATCCTCTTCTGGGATATCATATATCAATTAAACAGTTTTACATAAGTTACGTAAAATATTTTCATTATTCTTAATACTCTCAGTACACTAGTTATCAATCAGTAAATCAGCATATTCTTGACAACAGGCCACTCTCTTCAAGGCACATTGAAAATTATCTTTAACCAATTCTCCAGCCCTGTGTGCTTTAAACTAATTATAAATAGTTACTCATGACCAAAAAAGAATTACGAGACACACATTTTAAGCAAGTCCCCGTATAAATGGTTTTTTAAGACCTAAAAATGATTTACTGCGGCCACAAGTGAACAACACATCTACATTATTTTTTAACATAGTCACCATTAGCTTCAACATATTTTTGGTATCATAGCACCAGGTTCTTAATTCCAGTGTCACAGAAGTTTGCTGCCAGTGTCTTGAATTCCTTAACGTGTCTGCAGTTCATCTTCAGTTTCAAACCGCTGGGATGCTAGTCACTTCTTTAGGTGCATGAAAAGGTGGTAATCACTTGGCGCCAGATTGGGGCTGCACGGCAGGTGGTCAAAAATGTCCCAGTGACTCTTTTGCTACAACTGAACAGTTCCATCTGTGACGTGAGGTTCAGCATTATCGTGAAAAAGCACAATTCCAGAGAACACCAACCCACTTCTTTTGTTTTGGATGGCACACAGTTTTGTGTTTCCAAGGTTTCTTGTCATAATGTTGTTAATCAGTGAATATGAAACTTCCAAAAATCTGAGACGCAACGCAGCAATTGTGAAACGACAATTTTCCTGAATTTTTTTTGTTCACTTCTTCAATCAAATCGTCTGTCACCACACTCGGCCAACAGCTACGATCTTCAGCATGGATATTTGTTTGCCCTTTTTTAAACATTCAACACCATCTCCTACCCATACTATCAGTCATAACATCTGGCCTATAAACCTCAATGAGTTGCCTGTGAATGTATGCAGCACTGTTGTTTTTTTGCTAACAAAAAACGGATCACAGCACGAACCCCGCAACTGGCAGGAGTATTTAGTTTTGCATTTATTATAAATCACTCACACGCAGAATCAAATAAGATTTTGACAGTGAAAAAATAGCACACAGCTAGCTAATGAACCACAAAAACATACTGCATACGCACATTTTCATTTTTTATCAGTGTTTGTTGCTGCGGTCAAAATGGGACTTACTTAAAAAAACGTGCCTCATACATAAGTTTGATAATCATTCAAGCCACTTATACTTTATTTGGCAAAAACAAAACCAAAATTTAAAAGAGAATTCACAATATTTCTGGACACAGAACAAAACTGCTTTTTTTTTTTTTTTTTTTTAACTGAAGAATAAAGTCACAAGTAAAAAGGGCAGGTAAACAAAATAATTTATATGCTTTAATTTTTTGTTTTATAAGATGTTTGCATTTCAGTTAATTAAAAAAAAAAGTATCTTTGAATTTAATTAAAGAGATCAAATGTGACGTACAGAGTCCAGTGAGAATTATGGCCAGGGCTTGAGATGAAAAAAAATACCATATAATCAATTTTTTTTTTAACTGACCATAAAAAAAGTGTTTACTTATCAACCTGACTACACATCAGATAAACAACACACACACTCAGGGACCAACCAAAACACATACCACAGTTTCAGCAAAGGGATATGTCAATCCAGTACATCACAAGCAGACAAGGGTTATAGGGTATTTTGCTGCAACCAAAATTACTTACCTTAACACTTGCATATGTTGTGTGGACCTTTTCATCAAATGACTTGAATGTCTGAGAGTTCCTTTATTGAATAAAGCCATCATAAATTACCATTGCGATAATAAATTTTAAAACTAAGAACAGTTTAATATTTTGAAAATAACCTTTGATCCCAGGTCGACCGAGCCTTAAATGGGTACCAGGTTAAGTTTTGGGAAGCAAAGGCAGCCAGCATGATGTTGCTCACATCGCCCACCGAGTGCCAAGCCAACTGGTATATTAAAAATAGGTCTAGCCCTATATGCCCAATACACAGAAAAAGGTCTTATACTTTGCTTTAAGTTTAGGAATCATTAGTTTTAAAAAAATGGTAACTCTACAATAAAAAAGTGACTCCTTGACTGCTCAGAACTTCAGGGCAAACTGGGGCAGTACCTGAGTGTGACCTAATTATAACTTGGAGGAATTTGATATCGGCCCTTTGGTTAGCAATCTAGGATGTGACTCTTGAAGTTATCAAACCTTCAGGGGTGTCAAAACCTTCAGGTGGCAACCTGGAGGAAATGAGCAGAAAGATAAAACCATTTTGAGGTCCTAATGTAGCCAACATGTTTCAGCACTCTGAACAGACCCACAGGTGCTTTGTAAAAAGAAAAAAGTAAAGATCCCTTTTCACGCCTTTAGGGGCATCAGGCATTTAGGAAGAGCACCCATATTTTTACAAACCAATTGGCACTAGGTGGGTAATGTGTTCAGCATTATGCCGGATGTCTTTACTTTCCCAGGACATACATCCTGATACCCATTTTAGGCTGGGTCGACCTGCGACGCCCCATACAATGATAACAATTCACGCAAGCCAGCAGTGGTTTTTGATCGAGGTACGTTGGAATTACGAGCCGGACTTGGAACGCCTAAGACATGGACGCTGCACAGGTGCTTTGACCTACTCCTAAACAGCTCCACAAGCGTAAAATGACTGAGCAAGGCTGTTCTGCATTGACTAATCAGACGTCTTGTGCCCTTAAGATGTTGAGGCCAGCCTCTACTACAATATAAAGATGAGAGCAGGCGGAACATTAATGAAGCATTGAGATAGATTCGTAGGAACAAAATATTCATAAACTATGTTGCATGGAGGGGGAAATTCAGGACCGCAATGAGAAAGAAATGGAAGAAATGAGAGATTGCAGAAACACACTAAGATGATAGATGGCAACAGCGTCTGAAACTCCATGCGTCAGACTTCTCAACTACAGGTAAGTGGCCATCGCCAGGGTCTGATAACACACTATCGACTGGAAAGAGGGAAAGATGCCAATGCTGTGCCCTTAGTGAAATGATCATGTCTGGCGCGTCCAGGTTGTATTCGGCTTTCTATCTACCGACCTAGACAGGGATAATCAACCCTGCTTGTTGGTGTAATCATCTTCATTATATGCATGGCATTACTGGCATCACTCCTGTGTTATCCCTTTCAGCAAACTTTCTCCCCACGATAATATAATGTTCATTGTTACAGACAATAAACACATAACTCGAACAGACCAATAAATACAAAACAGAAATATCTCCCACTTCTCCATCTGCCCTTAAAAGGGTGGTTTACAGCTAGGCTGCAACATCTGCACCTTTTGACCCAAAACATTCGATTTCAGCAAAGCCCTAACAGGTCGTATTTTTCTACAGGCATGCTAGAGGTGTTGGATTATTCTCACCCACTTCCCACTGACACTAAAGAAGGCCCCGGAACCCAAAGAGGGACAACAGATCTGGATACTCACTTAATATCCCCCATCTTCTTGATCACTGCCTGGCCTACAGTGTTGATGGCACTCGATGTTTTTTCGGTTGCAGTCTTCACTACAGCGGAGGTCTTCTGGTAACTGAAAGTATAGTAAATTGCAATCAAGTAAAGAGATATGTAAAGAGGAAATGTTGTGGCAGCGCAGACCAGGCCCTTAGCCTAGCTGACAGCTGGTCTAGGAGGGAAGCTCCGATAGGCAGACAGAGCTCTGCTCATCTGATCTAGCAGCTTCAGCAGTGTTCTTTGTTCCTAGCACACTGGTGTTACCCTTCCTCTGGAGTAAACAAGGCAGGCCAAGAGAAGGATCAAGATGCATGGGCAACAATTGGTCTCTACAATACTGCCCAAACTTTGAGCTACAGAGAGGAGGAACTTCACCTCTGACCTTAATGGGATTGCCATGGGTTGTGAGTTCTAAGCCTCCTTGTGGTACAATAGTCTAGAAAGATGGAAAGGAGCCATCAAAAAAAGATACAAATGCATTCCCCGTGCAGCCCCTTTGCAACTAATCTAGCATCACTGTCCTTTACAAATCCCTGCAAACAGTTAGCTAAATCTTAAGACATATGCTGTGGAAGAAGGAGCATCTATGGGTGGGTCTAGGGTGCTAGGATTTCAGTTCTTACATCAGTAATTGCCCTGTGTAAGTTCCGGGGCCCCATTGAAAAAGGGAGGGGGGATAGACCCCCTGCCTTCCCAACATGCATAATGTTAATAGTGGACTAACTAGAAGCCTCCTCTGAAGTCAGAGTACATCTGCTTGAAAGACAAGGAAACAACAATCTGCATATAAACAGGTCAGCCCTGGGAAACATCAGTTCTCAAATAAAGACTAAAGTCCAGAGGTGGACGAACAACCAGAAATTTCCTCCAGAGTTTACAAAAGTACACAAAAGTTTCATCGTTAAACACCAATATATTTCATTAGCTTCAACACTCACTGACTAACTGTAAGGCCACCAGAAACTGTGGAAATTTAAAAAAAAAAAAAGTTAATGACCACTTTCCACGCCTTTAGGCGTATAGGGCTATAGGGCTAGACCTATATTTCATTGACCAATTGCACAAGATGGTTGATGTGGTCAGCATCACGCAGGCCGCCTTTACTTCCCGGGACTGGACCCTGTACCCACTCAAATTGGCAATTTAGTAATACAATAAAAATGTACACACGTTCAAGTCATGCAGAGGTACTTAGGAATGGCTGGTGCATCGAAGGACAAAGCATGCATGACAATATCCACTGGAGAGTGACATCCATTGTGTGATAACATAACAGCCATGCAACAAGAACAGATACTGTAAGAAGCATTCCTTGTTAGAAAAAGCAATGCACATTTACAAGTGTCCAGAGATATTTACACAGATGCAAAACTTACGACCACACAACAAGAGTAGTTACTGACAGAACTAGTGAACACTCCTCATAATTAATTCAGAGACTGAACTAGAAACAAATAAATATGATTTTATAAGAGTTTCACATAAGCATTAAAATATCGAGTCTTACAGTACAGCAATCCAAGATTCAATTCTCTGTAGCAGCAGCAATGGATTTTGTTTCCTTATTTAGTGAAGTGCTACATATGAGGTATTCTCCTCACAAAGAGAGTGCAAAAAGAATGATGTCCTCCCTGCACACTGAAACCAAAGATAGTCTCCTTAAAATGAGAGTGCAAAATGAATGATGTCCTCCCTGCACACTGAAACCAAAGATAGTCACCTTAAAATGAGAGTGCAAAAAGAATGATGTCCTCCCTGCACACTGAAACCAAAGATAGTCTCCTTAAAATGAGAGTGCAAAATGAATGATGTCCTCCCTGCACACTGAAACCAAAGAGAGCGCAAAAGGAATGATGTCCTCACTGCATACTGAAACCAAAGATAGCCTCCTCACAAAGAGAGTGCAAAAGGAATGATGTCCTCCCTGCATACTGAAACCAAAGATAGTCTCCTTAAAATGAGAGTGCAAAAGGAATGATGTCCTCCCTGCATACTGAAACCAAAAATAGCCTCCTCACAAAGAGAGTGCAAAAGGAATGATGTCCTCCCTGCATACTGAAACCAAAAATAGCCTCTTCACAAAGAGAGCGCAAAAGGAATGATGTCCTCCCTGCATACTGAAACCAAAGATAGCCTCCTCACAAAGAGAGTGCAAAAGGAATGATGTCCTCCCTGCAAACTGAAACCAAAGATAGCCTCCTCACAAAGAGAGTGCAAAAGGAATGATGTCCTCCCTGCAAACTGAAACCAAAGATAGTCTCTTCACAAAGAGAGTGCAAAAGGAATAATGTCCTCCCTGCACACTGAAACCAAAGATAGCCTCCTCACAAAGAGAGTGCAAAAGGAATAATGTCCTTCCTGCATACTGAAACCAAAGATGGCCTCCTCACAAAGAGAGTGCAAAAGGAATGATGTCCTCCCTGCATACTGAAACCAAAGAAGTTTCTCATGCAGCCATCTGTAGCAAAGATTATGCTGAGTCTTTTGGGATGACTTAGTATTTTAGAATACTACATGCCAAGAAGGAAAACTGTCACCAGGGATACGTATACGGAGCTCAGGAATCATCTTTCACCAGCAACCAAATCCAAACGATGTGGACTTCTGAAAAAAGGTGTCCTTTGGCAAGACTTCTGAATAAAGGTGTCCTTTGGCAAGACTTCTGAATAAAGGTGTCCTTTGGCAACATGACAATGCTCAAATTTATACTGCCTGTGCAATAGCCTGAAACCATCGAAGACCTCCACTTTTAGTGCAAACATACCACATCCTCCGTCTCCCCAGACCTAGAACCAAGTTTATTTCCCCCTGTTTAAACAACTTAGAGTCACTGGAAGGAAAGACTTTTCGGTCCAATGTAGAGTTACAGCATTGACAGCATTGGTGCACACTGAGTGGCTAAGCACATAACCAAGAGAATTGTTTCCACTGGAGTCCAAGCATTTTCTCGGCGCTCCAGGACTTGCATTGAAAGCGGTGATGATTACAACAGATTTATACATTTTTTCTACTATCTTTTCCCCCAGAATACCCAAAAGCAAAACAAAAATGTAAGCTTTTCATTTCAAGCCCCCTCGTAAAATTCAACTGTTAAAAAAAAACTGCAAATCAAATACAAATAAGCAACGGCTCCAATTATAACTTGGCGAAAGAATATTTTTCTCTTTGCTACAATGTATCTTCTTATAGATGCGTTTAAGTTGCAGTATCAGTATTTCTACCCAAAACAAACACAAAAACAAAAATAATAATCACGTACTTTAGGTATAAACATATTGTGAATAATGTATTATTTTATGCATATGCAGCACATTTGCTTTTTATAACTGACTTTAGCTTCCAGGTTGACCTATTGTAAAATAAGCCCCGGGTACCGCTTTGAGCAATGAAGATGTCACTACATGATCCACTAAGTGCAACCTCGTCTATATTAACACAGTGAAACCTCTTCCTTATTTGCACTAAGTCTGCGAAAAACCCCATTGAAAATGATCATGCATTGAATACTGTCTTTGTAGATCAAGAAAAGCTTTTGACAGAGTAGACAGAAACAAACTATGGGATATACTTGAGGATTGTGGGATAGAATGACAATTGCTAGATAACATCGTCACCATGTACCACACTTCCCAAAGCTCAGTGAGAACACAAGAAGGCCTATCTGATATGTTTATGATTTTAAAAAATACAGGGGTGAGGCAGGAATGTGCGCTCTCCCCTCTCTTATTCACTATATACATAGACAGAATATCAAAACAAAAAACAGCTATAAAGCAGCCGACCCAGAAAATCTAGAAAATGAGGAACTTTACTTTTCAGATAAAGAACTAGATCCACACACAATAAACAAGCTACTATTTGCAGACTATCAGTGCATGTTCTACAATGAGGAGAGTAGACTACAAGAACATTTGAACAGGCTAGGTTCAACATGTAGAATATATGAAAATAAAAACTCCTAAAATTGAACAGCAGAGAATTCCTAGTCCGCTACATAGTGGGTTGTATGGTACTTGTCTGAAGCAAGTAAAGAATTTAAATATCTTGGAAGTGTATTCTTGCAGGACGGGAGAAAGATCGGGAAAAGAAACACGATACCAACAAGCCACTGCACTTATATACCAACTGATACAGTTATTAAGACATCCAACATAAGTATGAGAGCCAAGAAACAGATTATAAACACTGTGCTACCAGACTTGAATATTTAAAGTATGAGCTTCAAGAAAAAGATTATAAACAGCATATTCATACCAACACTGTGCTACCAGTACCAGACATGAATATTTAAAGTATGAGCGACAAGAAACAGATTATAAACAGCAACACTGTGCTACCAGTACCAGACTTGAATAATTGAATTATGAGCTTCAAGAAACAGATTATAAACAGCATATTCATACGAACACTGTGCAACCAGTACCAGACATGAATATTTAAAGTATGAGCGACAAGAAACAGATTATAAACAGCATATTCACAACGTGCTACCGGTATCAGACATGAATATTTAAAGTATGAGTGACAAGAAACAGATTATAAACAGCAAATTCACACTGTGCTACCGGTATCAGACATGTATGAGTGACAAGTAACAGATTATAAACAGCATATTCATACCAACACTGTGCTACCAGTACCAGACTTTAACATTATCAAAGGCTAACCTACATAAAATTAACATTTGTGAAATCAGATGCCTGAAAACAGCACTAACTCAACCATCCGAGACAAAGTTAGAAATGATATTATCAGACAGACTGTAGGAACAACAACATTCAGAAAATTCATCGAGAAACAGAAGATCAAATGGTTTGGTCATTTAGTAAGAATGCAGCCAGAACAACTATCAACGCAGACGCTACACATAAAAAGATCTGAAGTGAAAGCAAGAGGCCGCTCTAGGAGAAAATGGATTGATGATATTTAGGGACTTCTACATCGACACGGAATGACAATAGCCGCTGCCGCCCATCAAGCAATGGCCTGCAAACTGTTCCTTCTCACAATGCTTGACGGTAGAAGTGAAAATTGATGATGATGATGACGATGACCTTAGCCAATGAACAACCTGGCTAATGAACTGTTCGGCTAATTAAAAATTGGCTTCATGTTTTTCGGCATCGCTAAAAAAATTTTGATTCAGCTAACAAATGTTTTAGTGGATGCACGTGAGTGAAGATGGGCACAGAATAGAAGTGATAACTTGAGTAGGAAAGTGTGCTACCTTGAGTAGGAAAGTTTGCTACCTTGAGTAGGAAAGTGTGCTACCTTGAGTAGGAAAGTGTGCTACCTTGAGTAGGAAAGTGTGCTACCTTGAGTAGGAAAGTGTGCTACCTTGAGTAGGAAAGTGTGCTACCTTGAGTAGGAAAGTGTGCTACCTTGAGTAGGAAAGTGTGCTACCTTGAGTAGGAAAGTGTGCTACCTTGAGTAGGAAAGTGTGCTACCTTGAGTAGGAAAGTGTGCTACCTTGAGTAGGAAAGTGTGCTACCTTGAGTAGGAAAGTGTGCTACCTTGAGTAGGAAAGTGTGCTACCTTGAGTAGGAAAGTGTGCTACCTTGAGTAGGAAAGTGTGCTACCTTGAGTAGGAAAGTGTGCTACCTTGAGTAGGAAAGTGTGCAAGGCAGCAGAGCTGGAAAGAGACTGAGTTTCAGTCAGGCAGATTGTGATGAGAGCAACGTGCTGCAAAGGATGTGCTACATGATGATGATGACACAAAATGTAATCTTCTTCTTCTTCTTCACGTTTACCAGCTATAAACTCTGGTTGTTCATCCACTTCTGGACTGCAGTCCTGTTCCAGAACCTGAGTGTTGCATGTGCATCCATTTTACAAATCTGACACATTTGTATGCAGACTGCTGGTTCCTAGCCTCTCAGACTGATGCACTCCAACTATGAAGGAAGCTCCCAATTAGTCGACTCTTACGACATGCTTTTGGGTAGGCAGTGGGTCTACTCTTGTTTTCCCTATAATAGGGCCCCGGAAACACACGGGGAACAAAATGTAATAATGTGCTATTTCGTGTGTCTATTATTTATTTTTTTTTTTTTGCACTCTAAAGGTTGCAGGTCCACATCATGGACTACACTGTTCAATTCATAAGTGCAACTTCTCTGGAAATCCCTGGGATCATCACAGGAGCTACAAAGCCTGTTCTGTGTGTGATGATCTCAGCAGGTGGTTAGCCATTCTATGAAGAGGCTTCATCATCATGCAGCAGGTCCTTTGCAGAATGTCGCTCTCATCACAGTCTGCCTGAAAGAAACTCTGTCTCTCTCCAGTTCTTCCACCTCATGCACTTTCACACTCAAGGAGTCACTTATATCCTGTGCTTATCTTCATGTCGGTCGGCCCCTGCCCCTCCTTCCTGGTACCATGCCTTTAACTATAATTTTTTCCAATCCGTCGTGGCACTTGATATGACCAAAATATTTCACCTTTCGAGAAAGGATGCTGTTTATTAGCCAATCTTCCTTGATGTTCAGATCTTTTATGATGTCAATATTTCTCATCTTCTTTGTCCAAGATATTCTGAGAATCTTTCTATAGCATTTCAGCTCAAAAGCCCCTATTCTCTTTCCTAATAAACTCATCATGAAGAGGCTTAGCCGTATGAAAAAACCCACTGAATGCTTTCAACTTTAAATCTTTTTTTACAGTGTAATGTTAACATGTTTACCTGTTTATAAATAAACATGTTTATGTTTATTTACGTAATTCATACAAAAGACATTGAGATACTTTTCCATTCAAAAGGTAAAGATCACTAAAAAAAATAACAAAACAAAATTGGAATAATCACAACACATGCTATACCACACTGCAAATGCATGCCTATGGGATTGTTAACACCAAAACAACATAAAACTCACGCCTGCGTCTGTGATATCTTTTCATTTAACTGATGTAAAGTGTCATTTGTCCTTTGGTATCTGAGAAAATCATACATGGGGAATGATCGTATCTGACTGGCAAATATAAAAACCGACCACACTGAAAACAAAGACTGGTCACCTTTCCAAGAACACAATTCTGAGCGACAACATGAATGGTGTGGCTAAAAAGCCTTCATCAGCACACAGCAACAAATGGACAAGGATACATCTTCACAAATATTACACTAAAGTGTCTGAGCTGAGCTGTTTAATAGCTAAGTCAAAGCATGTGATATCCAGATACAAGGAACAGGAATGCACAGAAATTAGCTTCACATGTTCCTAGTCAATCAACCTTAGGTTGGTTTGGTAGGCAGAATAAAAGTGGTTTGACATGACACTGACTACCTCATCAAGAAAAAATAATAACTAGCTGCAAAATCCAACCAGGCCTAAACAAGTCTTCTACAGAGGACCTGGCTTTTGTTGGCTTGGGACACTGTTCCACTGGCAGATTATAAGCACAAGAAGAAACTATTCTGATATGGCTGTTAAAAGTGTACTGTAAATATGTAGAAAGACATTCACGGAGCAGCAAACAAAAACAGCCGAAAGACGCAGACCTTCGTCTAGTGTTTCTGCCACTTTATCTTCTCGATACTCTCTGAAGTGGTAGGTTAACAACAGGATACAACCCCCAGGTGTTGTTCGTTATGTTCCGAAACAACTGCTGACAATGAAGGTTTATTTCTAATGACACACCACTATTTAATTGTCACTATTAGGAGTGCTAGCCCTAGAGCAGGCTGAAAGGCCAATTTGCCCATTTTATGCCGTGAGAACAACCATGCCTTTTCACAACCTGGCCAGAACTTGCACCATCTTGTCTTTAGTGAACTATGCTATTGTATGCGCTACCGTGGCTGTAGTGAACCATTTTCTCCTCGATAAATTATGTCCCAGATGGAATGACGTCAGCTAATAAATATGAATGGAATAATTGAGTGTAACAAGGACAGTGACGTGAGTCACGGACAAAATGCTGGTCAAATGAAACCCGTGTGAATCACGGAGAAAATGTTGGCCAAATAAAACCCATGTGAATCGGAGAACACGGAAAAGTCATAATTGTAATGTGGGCGTTAAAAGGTTATATAATGCCTTAGAAAGAGCATGTGGGGAGTCTCGTTTAGGCAAAGAAACGGAGTGCATGAAGAACGGAGAAATGTTTGTGGATCCAGAATGTGTCTGAGTATGAATGTCAGTTCCAACGCCCTACCTGGCCAAACAGCAACAAGGGACGGGAAACCTTGTCTGCCGGTTGAAATGTGTTTGCGTCGCCAACACGGAGGAAGTTTGCGTGCTTCATTGTGACTTTTGGAATGTGCGGTTGTATTTCGATGAGTTCCACTAATATCTGACTTTTTTAATCATTGTTTGCATCAACCTTAGACATGTTTTCTTTTATGTACCGGCTGAGATAACAGCGAGTGGAAGAATAAAAAGAACGACACTCTCTTGTGATGTTTGTTATCGTCCATTTTCTACTCATCGTGTTGATGTCGTGGTGTGAAACAGGAGTCTGCAGTGACTAGAGCCAAAGCCAATAAGAACAGAGTCATTGCAGTGGCTATGTTGCATCTTTATATCCCGTTCTCAGTTCTGACCCATATTAGGCTGGATATCCTCATGGCTCAAAATAACAGATTGGATTCAGAGGCTTTCCTTCCTAATCTCTTGCTGCAGATGCACTTTCCATGTGTTGATACAGACTACAGTTGGTGGGATTTATCGTGTAATCAGTGAAAGGATTTAGGAGGGATATGACTCCTTTCATGACTAGAAATGTTTCGACTTGACAGGATGGCTATGCTATTTGCAGGAGATGATTGATTGTTACCTTGGACTGTCACAGAGTGACTTCTGCCAACAGAAATCCGGACCAGCCTAGTGAGATCCTCCCCCCTGATGTTATTCCACTTTCTCCAGATCCAGCAAAAGGCTCTTGCAAAAGCCTCGCCCAACTGCCTTTCTCTCACCCTGCCTTGCAAAACAAGCTGCCTCAGAACATCATAAAAGGAGTTAGGCACCAACTCTCTTGTGCCTATCTTGACAGTGAAGACCCGACCCGGACTGCAGATCCCTCCCCAATCCTCTCACTGATTACAAGGCCACTGTACTTACAGGTTTATATGTTTGCTACTCATAGATTCTATATCTTAGATAACTGCACGAAGAAGTCTCCAACACTACAAACAATGCTTCAGAAAATGGCAACACGTAGTCTACCCTCCGAATGGGTAGAAAGTATTCAGAAATCACTGCTAACCACCACAATCTGGATCTACACATCTAGGTATCCAGAAGTAAATGGTAATGGAAGAGCTGACCAGCTGGCAAGTAATGCACCAATGCAAATGGAAAGAAGCATGGATGCAGCCGATATTATCAATGCTGTATGGACTAGATTAGAGGATAATGTTGAATCTCTGATGCTAACATGATTGCGTGAACAGGGAGTTAAGCTTGGTGAAGCATGTCTGTGCCCTCTCTGAGGTAAAAACGGGGGATACTATAACCAACCTCTCATGGAAACAATCAGTAAGTTAAGGTATTCTGGAGTGGCTGCTGCATCAGAGGACTGAGAACGCATGAGAATGCTCAGTGTGCAAAGACATCAATCGTGTTAACATAACAAATCTTTTGTTTCATTAAACAGTTTTCTGTTGAAAAAATGTCCTCATTTCTAATTTTATATACTTATAACAAAAGTGTTAAGAACATCTTAACAAGCACTCACGATTCAGAGTTCTTGATCTGCTCAAGTCCCTGCTGCAGATCATGTTTGAATTCCTGGAATGGTGTGATGCCAAGCTTTCGCTTCAGTTCATTTGCGTGGCGCACTTTGCTACCCAACACTTGACGCAACATTACAATTTCTGATTCAACCTTTAAAAAAAAAAAAAAGAATATGGATAAGAGATGTTTCTACATAAATCTCTAATAGTAAAAGGTAATATTAATGGCAGATAATGCTGTAAAGGTACATAAGGTTTGAGTAAATTCATTCAGCCAATATGAACTTTAGGTGTGCGAGGTAACAAGCAGGCTGACGGACCAGCTGTTGCAGTTCCTCTGGGCAGTGAGCTACTACATGATAAAGCAGATGTGGTGACGGCTTTAAGGGATCAAATTGACAGTACAAAAGAACAGACCGGTAATCTATACACTGAAAGACTCATTTAATGGGGATGTGTAGAAGTTGACGAAGATATTCAACACTATAGGGGAAACAGTGGTGGACTTTTAATCAGGTTGTAACTAGCATGTCGACTCTTCATTGGTTACTTAAAAAAAAGGAGACAGAGCTTGTGTAGGAATGTTCTGAGTGCAGTTTCTTGATTCGTTATAAAGAGTGGAGAGAATCACCTTTGCCCCTTGTCTTTCCCTCCCAGAAAATGTGCTAGTTCATAGTTATACCCAGCTGGACTTCTTCAGGACACTGAACACAACGATCTTCGATTTCACAAGCGAGCCACTACACCACGGTTGTTCCCTTATTCCATGTATAAACATAATCTAGGCTCTCAGGTTGGTACTAAATTACATGAAATATAGAATAAAGTTCACAGTCTACATTATAGAACACAATGAAAAGATGCAAAACTACATCTAGCATAAGAATTGAGGTAGATGCAGCCACTGTAGCCCTACATTAGGTCTCTTCTAACACAGTGGTCACTTGACTAGTTAATGCAAGGGTTCAGAGTATAATTTCTAGCACTGTCAGGATTTGATTTTTGTCCCCAGTCAGCATGGAACCAATCCAACTGTGTATAACTGTGAAGAAGAAGAAGCGCAGTTTCAAGATATGAAAAATAAACTGAAACTAAACTTGTTCTACTAGTGTGGGTTCTGGTGCCCCAATGCAGGGAAGAAAAAAAACAGATTCACTCCATTCACACTGCATCTGACTGAGAATGGAGGAACCAGCAGTCTGCATACAAATAAGCCAGATTTGTAAAATGGATGCACACACAAAACTAAAGTTCTGGAAAAGGACCAAAGACCAGAAGTTGTAGTTAACCCTGGTTTCCCAAGAAAGCTGGTTTTCCATTTGTACAGGTTTTTAATGACACGACACCAGAACTTTCCACCAAAGTTTACAGCCAGTGAACATAAGAGAAGAAGATCTAGTTCAGTTTCATAAGATAAATTGTAGTAGCAACAAATAAACTATCTGCATGAAAACAAAACACTGACATATTTACTCTTTGATGAGGATTAAACTCATCCATGTGGGGAATATAGTAATTCAACAGTTTGACTCCCTTCTCACCCCATGAAAGGAACTGTGGTAGCACAGTGGCTAATACATCTGCCCATCAGCCCACAGTGAACCTCAGTTCAAATTCTCATGATTCTATTGTGACCTCAGCCTCAAGGGTTCTCCCTCTGTTTATTTATGGCAATGACGTAGACACACTGGAACCTACCAATCAGACATGTTAGTTGTGTATCCTTTACAGGACGTTGCAATATCAACCCTAACAGTCCCTGGCTGTTGTGTGGTTTCTCTAGGCAAATTTACGTCCATTAGTTTGCCATTGCTTTCTGGACGGTCGGCCTTCTTGATTCCACTGTCGAAACCAACGCAAGGCACATGGCCCGCAGCTGGGATCGAACCCAGCATCCCGGCATTACGAAGCATTCGCATTGACTTAGCCACAGAGCTGACACCAATCAAATACCTTTCTTAAATGTTTGTGTATTCCAGACAAAGCATTAAGGTCTACTGTGTTATTAAATTGTTGCTGTGCTTGTTATTTGACATATGCTTCAATAATATACATTTCTGTAACTTATGGTGCCATTTCAATGGTTTGAAATAAACTGTCAGTATTCCAAAGTTGTGGATTTCAAGCTGGATGATAGACAATTTCTGTTACTTTATTAAGTAATCTGAACTCTGAGGTCAACCCAGCATAAAATTAGTGAAAGAAAATGTTTTGAAAAGAATGTTTAGCCTAATCTTGATCACATTACCAATGGAATGTAAATTGCTCAAAAAACATAGAGAGCTACACACAACTAACAAGTCTCAATGTGCTTAAAGAATCCTTTACTTTTTTTTTTTAAAAACTCTCCTAAAGAGTTTAGTGCTGGTTACCCAAAAAAGCCGGTTTGCCAATTTTACAGGTATTTAATGACATGACATCTTTCAGCAGTGCCCAATACACCTATATAATAGCTCTGGTGCTGGTTGCAACTGCACAGAGTGTAGACATGAAGACATAATTATGCTAAAGGTCATGTGCGGGTGTTTAAAACAGTGAATTTTCTTTAGTTTGGCAATTTTTGTAAAAGTTCGTTTTTACACACTTTAAAATGTATTCTGTAGGATTCAGTATCTGTTTTTGTGTAAAATGTGTTATTTTAATGAAACAGAAAACTTTACTGAGCTAACCCTAGCTGTGAAATATTTTGTTTAATGAAATTGTTTCCAAAATTGCAGTTTTTCGCACTTTGGCAACGCTATTTGAACAAGGATATAACTTTGTATTATTTACTATTCTGACAGTAATTATGTCCCCTGCACTATTCAGTGAGATTCATGATCATGGTGTTTCAAGTTTTCCATTCACTGCCGATTCAATGACCTGTATAAAAGCCCAGAAACTTCCATACAAGGGGGTAAACACGACCTCAGTCTCTATAGGCGATTCCAGCTGGCTGAAATTGATCACGTGGGTATGCGATTCTCAAAGATGGCCGCTGTGACCAATTGTTTAAGGACCTACAGCAAGAATGCTGTTGCTCGAAAAATGCTGCGCTCTAATAAATTAAAACTCCACTTAGTCGATCAACGTAAGAAATCTCAAAGTCTACAATTGGCAAATGCTCATAAGCAAAGAAAGGTCTACCAGAGCGTCATTAACATTAGAGAAAATTTGAACTGCAACACAACTAACAATGTTGCTAGTAGCGTCCTGGAATTTTGGCAGTCAGTGATTCTGTACCTTCATCTTCTAGATATTCTCAAAGTTGTGGAAGTTACAATGTTCTTGCAGAAAAATCCTGAAGCCAGTTTAACTCTTTGAGTCCCAGGGGGTTTAGCATCACAGGCCCAAGGGGTAGTCAAAAGAGACGTAAAATTGGCGCATCTTGCGTTAATTGGGCTTGCAGGTAGGAATCTATGATTGTATGATGCGTGCCTTGTGCCTTAGGACTCAAAGAGTTAAGAGAGATATGTATGAATATATGACCACCTCTAGCAGCAAGTGTGTTTCTGCTGATAATAATGGACATTAAAAAATGGGAGAACAGAAGAGTGGTTGACTTTTCTTCAACTGACAAAATCATCAAAACGTTGTGTTGTCCACTAAGTAAAAATTCTGCTCTTTTTTTTAAAAACTGACAGCAAGAAAACTCAATAATTAGCTGTGCATGCTTAAGAAGTAGTTTGTGGAAGGTACTTAGCTTCGAGAAGTAATGATGGGGATAGATCTTTTGCTATCAACAAACAGTCTATTTCTTCTGCATTAGTTTGTGGAATGGGAGCCACCACGTGCAATAATTTTTTGTAAAAAATATAAACCTGCAAGGTCCTCATCACAAAACATTTCACAACAAAGCAAAAAAAATATATTCAAAGTTAGAAGATCTGGAAGACAAGGTTTTCTCTCAAACCTTGAAGTATGTTCGGCGTTTGTGAAACTAAGATTTAGATTTTGTGCAGCAGTTGGAAAGCCACAAAAATTGTCTAAAAATATATGCCAAATTTCAAAAAAATAAATGGTAAACGATATGATAAAAAGGCTCTCTAATTGTGCAAAGGGGCTATGAGTATATAAATATACCAAAAACTGAACCTGTACATACAAAAATTGTGGTTTTAGACCGGTCGCAATAAATCCAATATGGCCGTTGTTTATCTAGGTTTCCACAGCAACCAGAGTGCAATCAGTTTGACAGAATGTTATCAATCTCAAGTCTTTAATATAGAACCCTATACCATACTAGAATGTAGACATTAAATAGCAGGCTTCAGTGCTAGTGGTCATAGGTCTCAACATACTCGATATTCTATTTCATTCAAAGACTCCAAAGTTCTTCTGCATCTTCTTCTCTTCCTCTAGTTTCAACAAGTAGAGTTTTGAAAATTATAACAATGTGTTTCTTTGTAACAAACTTATAAAGAAGAAAAAAGGTCATTTATTTGGCCAAGCATTTTATGGGAGCACAAAGGTTGAGCCATCCCTAATTCCTGTTCAAAATGCTATCATAAAACATGTTTCCACTTTTCATATAACCTACCTTCTGCAGTTCCTCTCTCCACTCAGTCATCCTCTTCTCACGCTCTTCTGGAGTTTCATCTGGAGGAGTATCTGCCTCTGCTGCACCATCCAATTCAGAGGTTGTGGACGAGATATTGTCAAAAGTAGAATCATCTGCCAGATTATATTATGTTAACATTAGTACTAGAAAGAAGATGGGTCAGAGAAATCTGATAATTTTTGAAAAAAGGACTATCTTGTAATTTTTTTTTTTACATCTGGAAACCCCAGTGTAGCGACCTCTAAAATGAGCTCTTCTGGTCGCTTTTCAGTTCTATATTTTCACAGTCTATATTCATCGTGGTCGCCCTCTGTCATCAGTGTTTTTTTATAACACTGCTCTCTCTCTCTCTCTCTCTCTCTCTCTCTCTCTCTTTGGTGCCCTGTCTGGTGCCAAACTTGTAACACGCTAAACTGATGAAGTTAGTTCAGTGGTTCTGTGCCAACTCTCATTCAGAGTCATTCTGTTTTCATCATTTCTAAGTTGATCTTTTATTGTAATTGTGCCTTCCTAATCCTGTCCTTTAGCAGAAGGCATATGCTCCATAATGGGCAAAAATGCAAACAATTATTTGTAATATTTATTTACAACTGCTTCAAACTATTCAAGTAAAACAAAAAGTACTGTTTATACTGAGAACTAAAATCAAATCACAACTTCCTAGAATATGATAATCATATTAATAATTATTAATCCAGTCCTGCTAGAGTCAGTTTAAACAGTGACAATCTGAGCAAATCAAATACATTTGACTAATGCATTATTCTTTTCCTAGCTAATTTCAAAAGACACAAATATTAGATGTAGATTCTGATCACAACTCACAAACGTCTTACTGTAAGTGTAAACATTCAAATGTATGTAATTTAGCTGTTACATCAGTTCACAATACTATAGCAGCAGTAGTTATCATTAATGTATTAATATCGGTGAAAAATCAACGCAGCATATGCAGTTCTATTATAAGACGATTCTTAAAAAAAAACATATTTGCAGAGTAAACAAGGCTTACCTTTGTCAGAACCGTAGAGAACGTCGTTGGTTGGAGACTGGGCCATTTTTTGGAGATGGATAATTCGACGAATGTGCCACGGGCTACCAGATGTGAGACTTGTGTGTTACGTCATCAGATTTGGTTGTGTTTACATCAATCACGTTCGTCTGAGTCATAATCCGTCATGTTTCGCAATTTTGTATCCCCACTACAAAAATAGTGTATTTATGACAACCAGACAGTTTTATCCCTAAGTTTGGTAGCCTATCTGATAACATGATATTGTAAAACCAGAGAGAGAGAGAGAGTAAGAAAGAGAGAGAGATAGAGAGAGAGATCATTTTAATACACCATTCACACCTTTTTCAATGTATTGTAAGACTAAGTTATTTCACAGTGATAGTAAACAGCTGCAAGACCACATAAACCTACTACACGACAGTTGCCTCAAGGATCATATGAAGATCAATACTGAAAAGACAGAAGTCATGAGCATAAGTAGAGAGCAACAGACCAACGACATAAAGATTCTAGATCACAGCCTAAAACAAGTGCAAGAATTTAAATACTTGGGAAGTATCTTTACATTCAATGGTAGAATAGACAGAGATCGAAGCAAGAATCCAACAAGTCAGCAATGTCGCATATCAGCTTGCCCCAATTTTAAAACACCCTGCTGTCCCAGCTGAGATAAAAAGACAAATTATAAATACAATTTTTATACCGACATTGGGTTATCAATGTCAGACTTGGACATTAACAAAAGAACACGAGAGAAGACTAACCACCTGTGAAATGAGATGTTTGAGAATGGCTGCATATAAAACCAGAAGATATCGAATAAGAAATGATGTGATTACAAGAACTATTGGAACCATACCCATCGTTAAATTTATTAAGAAGCAAAGAATGAAATGGTTTGGTCACCTAATGAGAATGGAACCAACGATGCCAGCATCAAGAGCATACAACATGAAAATCGAAACACCAAGAGGCAGGGGAAGACCAAGAAGAAGATGGATTGAAGGAGTCACGGACAACTTGAGACTTCATAACATCACGGCATATGAAGCGACTGAGCGCGCCCTGGCTCGGTTGCCGATCATCTGATAGACTGCTACGCCTAGCGGCACAAGCAGATTTTGACAAAAGAAGAAGAAGAAGTAAGACTAAGATATTACAATCGTAATTATTGCTTAACTTTAAAAATAAACGAGTATGAATGTTGAATAAAGAATCGACATATCAGCACTCGGGACACCTACATGAGCTCTCCGTCTCCATCTTCAGCAGCAAATTCCGATGGTACCAGTAACTGTCTGATTGTATATCCGTCTGGCATTTTACCTAATAAACGAGTAACCTATGTATTAATAAGTTTAATCTTTCTCATTGGAAATAATTTAACTAGGCTGAAATGTCTACAGGCAGCAGTTACTCACAACATTGTGTTTTTTTTTTTTTTTTTTAATAATAGATTTTCTGTACCAATTATTAGATAGGATATTTTAAAAGACAGCCTTTTTAAGCAAGTCAGTAAAACTGAGGGGCAAGGGGAAGGGGGGGGGGGACTCAGAGCAGCGTAAAGGTGTTAAACATGTTCCTAGTTTACAAAACTGAGTATTACTGTAGAGAGCAAGTGTTGCCCATGCAGCATGGTCGCCTTCTATGCCTGCCTTCTTTACTCGAAAAGAAAGGTAACACCAGTACATTTGGTACAAAAGCTGCCGCACCAGAAGAGAAGTGCTCTGCCTGTCCGCCTGTAGGAGTTTCCCCACCGGAAGCAGTTGCCAGCCTATAGGTCTGGTCTACTCTGCTATACATACCATAGTTTTCAGTTTACTTTCCTCGTTACAGGATAGACAAGGTCGGTCTCCTCTCTAATACACGCCTCTGCAAAAAGTTATGGTGCAACAGCAGATATCAGGTTTATGTTATATAACGCCCAACATTAGACAGTAACACAGAACACGTAGTACCGACAACTGTTTTACAGTAGCTCCGTCATACTCGTACTCGCTTAGGAGCTACATAGCAACAACAAGAAGGAAAGGGGGGGGAGGGTCTACACCAAGCACTTTAATAGCAACAATGAAACACCCAGTAGTCGTATTAAAAGCTCGGACCAACTTCAGAGCAGAGGCAGCAACCCTGCTTTCAACTGTGCAGACACTTGGAGGTCCATTTAATTAAATAAATAGCTTGTCGTGTACACAAACCAGAAATCAGCACTCCAGAACTGCATAATAAATGATAGAGCTATTAAACTAAGATTACTCATGGTCCAAAAGTTTGAAACTGTTGATTGTCACTCGCCAGAGGCCTAACCAATTCAGTTCAATTCAATATTTGTCGTTACCACTTTCAGCTAGGGTCAGAAAACATTACTGCTGTCTGCTAAATTGCGGGCTATGGTGGGTTTGTTTGGCTGGTTGGTACGCTCAAGGAGAGGATAACTGCTTGCCCTGGGGCAGCACTGCGTCAGGTTATGGGTGGAATTTGGTGCTGCTCTGGTGGGGGAGGGGGGGTTTTCTGTCATGGCTGTCCGGCACTGTTCGAACACTGGGTTTCAGGTGGGTTGGTGCTGGCGTAATTGTTTCTTCGTTATTTTTTGTGGTTTCGCCGCTTGCCGTGTTTTCTGTGGTTTCGCCGCTTGCCGTGTTTTCTGCCGAGTTTTGGTGTTCGGCTCGGTGTTTGAATCGGTTCGTTTGGGGACCATACATTGTCTGCTGGGGGGCTTTATTTGAAGTAGTTTGTTTCAGTAAGGCATTTAACTGGTGGCTAGATCTCGTTCACTAAGACGCTTCTGGCCGCTTCTAGTTCAGAGTGGAGTGCCTTTGAGCGTTCAAAGGCCCGCAGTGTTTCCTCGTTGGTGAATGCCATGGTGTTTTCACCTCTGCTGCTGGCTCCGCTTCGAGTCTGGCATCCCCTGCTTTCCGTAGGGCCTCTCCCCTGTCAGCTTATTTGCGATCTTCTTCTCCTGCCTGGATTCCCTTTGTTGTAGCTTGCAGCTCGTTCCTTAACTTGGCTTTTTTATTTTCTTTGGTTTTACGTAACGTTGCCTATGTTTCTGCTAGTTTTGTCTTGATCGATGTGACTGGCAAGGAGACTCTGTTGGGTTTCTCTCATTTCTTGCAGTTCGGTCTCCATTTTTTTCTGCCCCTGTATGGTCTTAATGACGCTCACAATGGCCAGGATGTCAGATTTGAAAGTGGCCTTATATGCGAGTTCTGCTTCCCATTGTTTCTGAGAGTCGAGGGACGCTTGCATCATGCTTCGCAGATCAGTCATCTCGTCTCTCTCTTGATCTCTATGGGCTTTGCTGGCTGACTTTTGGATCTCACCCGTATTGACCGGAACAGTTGGCACATTTCCTATTGGCGTTGGCTTTCCAGACGTTTTGGTGTAGTTTTGCCAGGGGGCAGTCGCTGAAGGCGTGTTGTTCCGAACAGTACCGACAAATTTCGTGCTTGCTTACACAGGTCGCTCTGGCACTGGGAACACTTCAGTACCTGTAGTATGTACTTTCTGGACTCAGCCTCCTCTGGTTAAAAAAGGCCTTGTCTGGTATGTCTTCTCCCTCTGTGGTGATGACTGCAACTGGCGACGGGTTGTGTTTTGATCCGATCCTCTCTGCTTTTGTGAATATCAATTTCGGGTTCTGTCTTTAAGTTTTCTGGGATCTCTTGGTCGTTCCGGTGTAGGTTGACTCTCCGCACAAACCAGCGCCTGACGTTCTGGAACTTTATGGCCATCACCATTATTTCTTTGGGAAGCTGAAGCATCTCCTTGCCGTTCTTCTTTATTTCAGTGATCAGTTTCGACGTGCAGGTGTTTCTGTTCAGAATGGCAATCACGCTGTCTCTTGTTTTCTTGATTTGTGCCGTTGCATGCTTACCGAATAAGTTTTCAAATTTATTCACCAGCAACAGTGTGTTCAGGGCAGTGAGCTCTCTTTGACCCGGGTTGGTCAGTCAGAGTGGCTGGGAACTCAAGACTGTCTGTCTTCTGTCTGGGTAGTCTTCTTATGAGACCGACCCGAGTGCTGCAATGTCGGTTCTCAGATCAGCTGAGATGTTTTTCTCGGTAAATCCAGGAGGCACAGAGCGGTAGACAAATCCCAGCTTCGAGGGCAACCCGACCACACATCCACTGATCTAGCAGAGAATTTAGAAAATCACAGTGCTACACGGGAACAACCGTGGTGTTTGAGCTAGATGCTAGCCTGCGGGCCACAAGGTCATTGGCTGTAATCCACGGGTATTTAAAGGGAAAAATCACATTGGCGCAAAGGTCCACCCTGGTAAAATTAGTACATGTTAAAGTTTGGGAAGTAAAGGCAGCTAGCCTGCTGCTGCATCAGCCACTGATTGCCGATTGGTCTATGAAACATAGGTCTAGCACTATATAACTATAGCACTATATACGACTAAGGGCTCGTAAAAGGGTCCTTTACTTTCACAGTGCTACCTCCCACCTCCCTAATTATGATAACCAATCCTGGCGATCACTGAACATAGTATGCTGTTCTTATTGAAACAACGCGAAAGAACCCGCTTCTTATTAGGACGTCATCTACTTAATTCCTGACACATAACTGACACAGACAGTGCTTTCCATGTGGTTTACACTCCGAACAGGAGACTGTCGAGAATCGCCGAAGCTTTAACAATTAAAATCAACAACCCCCTCCTTTGTAAGCAGACGGAATTTATTTTAAATTTGAAGTTACCCAGATAAGACACGTGACTAGGGTGAGCTTCCGGTGGCCAAATAACAAACACGATGTGTCGGAAGAAACTATTCGCATTTCAGTTGGATTTATTCAGTTTTGTGCTTCATTTTATATTGATGTAACTCTGTAGTAAGGCACCTGACAAGATACAGCGAAAATATGTCTGGCAGTAAATTGTACAATGTGTTTTTTTTGTTCGCATTATTTGAATTCATTACAGGAAAACCTAACTTTTTTTCCCTGCATAGGATAACGGCTATATAGGACAACAGCTCTCTCCGTGTCTGGCGGTTCATTGCCACCTGATTTAGGTCTTGAATGTTTATTAG